CTTGAGTATGATTTCAAGCACTGGAAATACGACCCTAATGGCAAGGACTTGAGTATGATTTCTAGTGCTTTGAATCATACTCAAGTCCTGACTTGAGCATTGAGTAGAGTTCTAGAATACGACCCTTAGACTTCTAAGTATATCCAGCAGATTCTTTTCACTCAGAAAATGAAGCTGATGGCCTCGAAGCTAAACCTAGAAAAAGAAAATCTGTCAAGATTTAGTTCCGTGTGAACTGGAAAGGTTTTGTTCAAAAGACTACTAATTTAAATAAATCTTCGTTCTAAATAAGGTTTAAAAATAATGCCTAATTAGATTAATTGTGCATAAAACGAAAAAAACATGCAATATCATGACTTTGGAATATGAAAAGCTCCGTCAATGTGCCTAAAAGAGTAATTTTTTGCATTAGCTTGTGAGAATTGCTTAAGATTTTCATGATTTCCAAAAAATATTTTTTCCAAAATACTAAGCAGTGCGACTGTCGCGCGGTTGCAGCGCTTTTAGAAATTGTACGAAAAGTGACAATCGCGCGGCCGCTGCGCAGTGCAGCGCGGCTAATTTGAACGCGCCCTTAGTCTAATTTTTTTTTAAATATTAAGGCTTTAGCAAAACCATTAGCCTAAACATGAAGTTTAATTTTGTTTCTGTAAATATGGCCGCCACAAAGAGGATAGGCAATTTGAGGCGGTGTGCTTGGATTGACTCGGGATTCCTTAAAACGGGCTGATACGGGTATCTCGAAAGATTCGTATAATTTCGCGTTTTAATCTTCGATTAAGACACAACAGCACTATCCTATTCCACTTTAAACTAGATTTCACAAAATAATTGAAAGTCAAAATAAAAACGACACTTTTCCCTCCAAAAGGTCCAGAGCGAATCCCCTTAGTCTAAAGGTATGCATAAAAAAATGATATCAACGCCCAATTTAACGTCAGCCATTAAAAATTAAAACCAAAATACTGGGTATTCAAGCCAGTCGTATTTTATTACACACGCCACGTATCAAAATCGCGGATTTAAGTAGCCAATTTAGTTAACACAATTCTAAAGTTTAGTGAACCTGTTAAATAATGAATTATAGATCTGTTCTTTCCTTAATATAAACACTGATTACAATGCGTCACACTTCAGTCGATATATTAGGGGTTAAAGTATGAAATTGCCGTTTTATTGCAATAGGTTCTTTGAATTTTCATAGAATCTTCATGGTTTGAGGTTTTCGAATGAAACTTTTTTCAAATGGTTTCTGTGATTTTTTTTTTTAAATTTGAAACATTTGAATATCGACTTTCAATTGTTTTTGTTATTCAATTTAGACAACAAAGATGGATACTGCGAAAATTCGAGTGATTTTTGAATACGAGTTCCGACGCGGAACTAACGCGGCAGAAACAGCCCGCAATATCAATGCTGCGTTTGGAGAGGGGTCTACTAATGAACGCACCGTGCGATTTTGGTTTAAACACTTTCGTGATGGAAATTTCGACTTAAAGAACGAGTCACGAGGAAGACCGCCCACACAGGTGAATAACGATGAATTAAGAGAGATAGTGGAAGCCGATCCTAGTCAAACAACCCAGGAATTAGCGGCATGGTTTAACGTTACCTTACCCACAATATTGACTCACTTGCGTCAAATCAATAAAATAAAAAAATACGAAAAATGGGTGCCTCATGATTTGACTGATCTGCAGAAAGAAACGCGTGTTGAAACTTGTGTTGCCTTGTTGAACCGGTACAGAAATGAAGGAATATTGGATCGAATTGTAACATGTGATGAAAAGTGGATTCTTTATGATAACCGGAAAAGAAAAATGCAATGGCTGACCCCAGGTCAAATGCCACAACAGTGTCCTAAAGCAAAACTTACCAATAAAAAGGTAATGGTAACTGTTTGGTAGTCTCAGCGTGGTGTTATTCACTATAGTTTTCTCCGATCTGGTCAAGCACTAACGGCAGATGTCTATTGTGCCGAACTCCGAACCATGTTGACAAAACTAGCAGTAAAACAGCCCCGACTCATGAATCGATCTTCACCATTATTGCTCCACGACAACGCGAGACCTCACACAGCACGAGAAACCATTTTGACCCTTCAGGAACTGCAGTTAGAAACCATTCGTCATCCTCCGTATTCACCAGACCTTGCTCCAACGGACTACCATTTCTTTCGTGATTTGGACAATTATCTACGTGACAAGAAGTTTTCTTCCCAGGAGGCAGTACAAAATGCTTTCACACAGTTTGTGCAGTCTAGATCGTCGGAGTTCTATCGCAAAGGCATTAATAACCTTCCCATTAGATGGCAGCAATGTATAGATAATAATGGCAACTATTTTGATTAAATAAATTTGTTAAAAATTTAAAAAATAAACAATTTAGATTTTCAGTACAAATCGGCAATTTCATACTTTAACCCCTATTATTTTAACATTGATTCTCGTTTTCATTGACTGTGTCCCAACACTAGTTCGGGAAAGAGAAAAAGAATGGCGGAAATTAGGAGCGGAGCGACGATAAAAGATTTAAAATTTTCAATTATGATTATGACAACATGACGGAAAAGTTTTTGGAAGAAGTATCAAGACATAAAAAGCGAATGGTATGGAAGCAAAAGGGAAGAAATACTTAGTAAGCCGTATTCAAAATTCAACGTCTGTTATTATTATTAGCAAATGAATTATGTCATATAAGTGAAAACATAAATAATGACTCCTGCCTCCTATTTAAGCCCAAATCCATTCTACAAGTACGTTAAAACACAATAGAAAATATTTATTGAGGATCCCGAAAACTAAATAATGAAGACCTGGCTCAAAGGACTTGTATCCAAGTCAAAAATCGAAAAAAAAAAGTGTCATTATTTGCTTCGGCAGTGACCGCCAATGATGCGAAAATTAGTACTAACTAAAATTGGAACGATACAGAGAAGATTAGCATAAAAGGATGGCACGCATTCTCGTGAAGCGTTCTCATTATTTATCAATTCACTTATTTTTTTAAGTTAAGAGCCGTGTATCGTAGCCAAAGCTCTATATAAAAAAAAATATTGACATGTGTCATTCTATTCATAATCTACTCGAGCTAGATTTTACGGAGCTGCGGTGATATTTTGAACATAAATCGAATCTCGTTCGCATTTTAACGATATTAAAAAAAATTCTTATTCATATTCATTTAAAAAAAAAACAAAACCACGAAACCGCCGTGTCGGCTCGGTGCCAGCACGTGCAGATAAGCAAGCGACGAACGAGTGAAGCCGTCGGCGGCAGGCAAGTATCTTTTGTTAATTTTTATGGTAAATTGCTAAATGCAAATTTCAATATATAAATCAATAATTCAGGTATTATTCAGGGCATTAAATGAGAATTCACTTAATCGCGAGTGGTTGTCGTGAGATTGCTTTTTTATCTAAAAAATAATTTTTGCTTCGAAATCGCCATCGCATGTGTGAACTGTAATATCGGAATTGATTCAAAACATCATTTACGATACTTGGTGTGACACGTGATGTTTGTTTATCAATATTTAACTTCCATTTTACTGACATTATTATGCTATTATTATTAATGACTAATTTTCATCACAATTGCTTGTAAACAGTATCATTGCATTGTGGCTAACTTGACTATAATGCCCCGAATAAAACCCTCGGGCCTTTTTCTTTCCATTACAGCCATGGTTAGTAAGCAGATTTTTTTAAATTTGTAGCTCAAAGATCAGGTTCAAATTCAAGTATTAAGTTCAAAAAACAGAAATTTAATTGCAATTCAGCCACTGACTACTTAAATACTTATTAAGAATTTCTTATAATTGATTTTAATTATTTTCTGTATAAAAATTTAACTAATTTTTTTACAATGACTCTAATTCTCAGGTATTTTTGGCTCAATTTATGAATAGTTATTTTTTACTTCACAACACAGTGTAAATAATAATAATTAAGTAACTTGTAAAGGTAACTTATTAAGCACCTATTTAAAAACAAAAACAATTTGTTACAGAAAGTATGGTGAGGCCGAAAGACCAAAGCATATGGAAGCATTTCAGAAATTCAGAGGACAAGTCTGCTATATGTATATATTGTGACCACAAATACAAATTTGCGCACATATCCAAAATGAGAAATCATTTACTGAAATGTACAATGTACCCAGACATAATTAAAGAAGACATAGAAAAAAAACACCTGGAAGCTGCGACTACTCACACACATAATGGTAATTTTGATGTAAATTTTTCTACACGTAGCTTTTTCATATCATGTCAATACTTCTTTTATTTGAGGACTGCGTTGACTTTGAATAGTATATTGCCACCTTGACTGTGTTATCCATGCCGCATGGAAATCTACCCTCGTATAGATATTATATAGGGCATATAGGGTTCAACTGTAAGTGCTGCGTGCATTGTGTTGGGGAACCGCAGTTACATTGGGTTAGTGCGTGAAGTGTGTGTGTGTGTGTAAAGAAAAGACTTGAGACATAGCCATCACTCACTATATCCACATTACGAATTTGTAGGCTTTCACTTTCTGTGCCGAATAATAACAATTATTAACAAAGAAAATTTATGATTTTGGTCCCCTTGCTCATCTCTAGTTCCCTGCATGTGATGACGTCACACTAACTAGTACAGAGAATTCCATACTTTGGGTGACTGTCTGGTACATTATTGTTGTAACTGTTAGTGAATCAATAAATAAAAAAAATTTAATAACATTGATATTTCAATGGCCCCACTGAATAAAGTTGTATTATCTACACATTTATTGTGGCTTTTGAGATGTGGATTTATGGCTGTATCTCAAGTTGTGACTGGGTTACAAACATAGAAATACCCAATAAGCTAAAGAAAAAGGTGGAGCTTATGAATGTCAATAAGCACAGAGTATTTCGGTCACGTCATGAGAAACAATACGTACAAATTACTCCAGCATAATTATCCAGGACAACATCATTGGAAGACGAACTGTTGGTAGAAGTCGGCACTCCTGGTTAAATAATTTGAGTGAAGAAGTGGCTGTAGAACCACCTAGCTCTTTAGAGCAGCACCTCTAAAATCAGAATTGTCGTGATGGCTACCTCCGATAGGAGAAGAATCCCAAGATTCTGTGGGGCCTTTCTTAAATATAGTATGCATATTTTATATTTAATATAGTAAATCAAGGAACCCTTATTTTGTATGATTCAGTACACAATTAAAAGTTGCTAAAGAATATTTGCTATAGTTTGTCTTACAGATGAAACAATTGGTGTTGAAATATATAATGAAGGAATGCAGCCAGGGCAATCAACACCGCATGATACTGACGAGGAAACCGAAGAAATGACCCATAAGGCATATTATATGGTTTGTATTTTTTTTATTCTATGCTCCTAATCAATATAGAGTGGCTTTTTATGTTAGCGAAATTTGAAAGTATTTTCCAGTCGTTATAGTCATTCGTCGTTGTTCTTTTACTTTTCTCTTGTTTTAGACCTGAAAAATCTCTGTTCCAATCAATTGTCGCATTTTGTGTGTGGTTACATTGTCATTGTTTTTTGTCGCTACAGCTTCCGTCTTCAATTGTCGCATTTTGTGTGTGGTTACATCGCCATTGTTTTGTCGCTACAGCTTTCGTCTGTTTTCTTTCTAAGTATATGGACTTGCTGTTAACCAGTACCTAGTCCTGAAGCAAAGATAGGGTTCTACGATAGAACGAGCTCGCCCACAAGATGCCTGTTCAGTCGTACATGATATGAGAGTGTATGTTCTCGGAGACACGAAGCAAGGAATTCTATTCTAAAAGTCGAATGTTCCGTTCAATGTAGTCGAGACTAATTTGCGAAAAGACTCTCTCTTTTTCTTATCATGTCGATGGCATACACTATAATGCTTGCCATCATTGTGAAAGGATTTGCTAGTCAGCGTAATGTAGCCGCCCATTGTTGTCCACATCGAGCGGGGAGGCTGCTTTCGTGCATTCCTGATTCCCTCAATGCATAATTCAATTCGTAAAATAACGAATTTGAGGAAGGACCAATGAATGAAATGACTTATTGAACAAAGGCCAATTTGTGAATTGACTGGTTTCATAAAGGACCATACCATGAAACGGCTCATTCAACAAATGAACACTTCATATATTGGCTAATTTGGTGAAGGATCCATTTATGAAATAAGTTATTTGTAAAATGGAAAGAGGAGCAATTAAGGAGATCATGAAGTTGAGAAAAAATCATATTGTAACACTAAGCAAATAATAAAATCTGTGTAATTATGCCAAAGGCTACGCATACCCGTGGTAGCCAGTTTGGCCTACCGCCTTTCAAACATGCTAAATTTAATTTGAAATTTACCATGAGCTTTTCGGTGAAGAAAAGGAAACCTGCAAACATTTGCAAAATAATTTAATGATGTGTCTGAAGTTTGCAGTCGGGATTGGGCTTGCGTCAGAACTACAGCCCACTGTGAGAGGTCTATTGAGTTCTTAAGTTTTCGGGATGGCTACACATTGGAAATGAAACTATTTTTTTCTGAATCTATAGCAACCTTCATTTCAGAGTCTACTTTCGAAGCACGAAATAGTGGGAAAACTAAGGATTTCGTGCTACTAAAGTACACCCAGGACACGGCTGAATCACTGAATATATAAGTCAATTTATATTTGTGTTTTATTAATTATAGGATCCGTTAGAAGACCAAGTTGAGGAGGAACGTGACAGTGAGGATGCTTATAAAGGTTCAGTACTTTGGAAGATGGCAGTTGAAAAAAGGCGACACATGGTGGCGATGAGGAAAATGGAATTTCAGATAAAAAAAGAAATGTTGAAACAAGCAAAAATAAAAACTAGAATGATGTTATTAGAGTTACAATTGAAAAGGAAACAATTGCTCTTACAAAATAAACTCGGCGAAATGTCGTGAAAATAACAAATTAATTAAATATTTTTTTTACTACCATTATATCCATCAATTTTTTTGTGAAAATACTTTACTATAGTCTGTCTTTTTTAAAGACGGAGTAAAATGACATATGCGGGATTGGCAGTTTTCATGAAATTTTAAATGTAGTTGTTGTCGACAGTTGTACTGAAACATTGTGAAAGAAGGTAAAATTTTGCCAAAAATGTCTGAATTGTGAATGTTACGACGATCTAATGATTACTAATTGCGTTATTGCCTTCTTTCTTTGACAGTTGCTTTTTATCTTATTATAAAATATGTTTTCTCTTTATACTTTGAAAGAAGTGTGTAAGAAATTACAAAAATTGATAATTCAGATAAACCTGTGCCAAGCAGTTGGGCAGATCATGTGCCGACTGATGATTCAAAAGAAACAAGTTCGGCTATTTCTTGCATAGGCGTAACCAACATTCAGTCGATAGTCGATAGAATATTTATCGACTGCAATCACTAGCAAGCTTACGAGCGGGCAATACTTTTGAGCAATGAACTGTCATTTTACTTCATCTTAAAAAAGGACGTCTATAGTTTGTTCGTTGATACAAAAATTCCTTCGATTCGATTGGACTCGAACCGTCTGTTGCCTCAATGTAGCTACCGCTCTTACCGACTGAGCTACGAATAGTGGTCGATCCGACTAGACTCTTAGTCCAGTTGAAGCGAATGTGCTCGTTAGATCTTTGTGTCAATAATAATAACTAAGCTTTTCTTTATATTGAGGAGGCTCAAGGCAATAGACTGAATTTTAGTAAAATTCGTTATCTAACTCATTACAGAGTACTTTTATTTCTTTTTTTTTATGGTGGAATCCATTGAGCAGATTTATTATGGTTACTGTATTATTACTCAATACCATTAGAGTGCATTTATGAAAAATTCATATATTTATTGGGTTTTGCCTCGGACTCCTCGATATGCTTTTCCTTTCTTATCATGGCATTATGTACGTACATAGAATGTACCGAACTCCGTGCTTTTTCATGTTCAAAAACACCTTTTTGTTTTTCATTCTTGTTTAATTGATGTGTGTGACGTGTATTACATTTCTTATTGCGTTTCATATAAATATTTGTGCTCATTTCCGTTTTTTTGCTCACTTTCCAACTTCTTTTCCACTTTATTTTGTACATATACCTCACACCCTTTTCACATCGGCAGGCAGGGACAACAGCCTTCCACTTGCTACGATCCTGACATCATTCGCCTCATCAACACGCATTAGTGCTTTTGTAAATGCTCGATAGTTATCGGCCTTTCTAAATTAGGGCATAAATTGATTTTAAAAGAACTGACGACATGCGAAGAGAGAATACAAAGAGAATAATAACAATTGTTATTATTATTTCCTTAATGGCGGCCCCTAGGCTTGGGCCAGTCTCGGTTTCTAAGATTGCAGTCAGTTAATGTTGATCAACAGTTTTAAAGGTGCAATCAGATAATATTGGTCAAAAACACCAACGTTAAGGCAGCAGCAAGGTATTTGATTAATAGTTACTTTGACATTTCGTATTGTCATTATGATCTCTTTGATGTCTTTACAATAACAGCTCTTCAAGAGCACAACCTACAGAAACCCATAAAATTACTAACCAAAAAACTTGATACTAGCAAATATTCTGAAATAAATAAATATAAATAGCGCACACACTCATAGCTTCAGGAGACCCTGTATCGCGGGTGCCATAGACAACCACAAATTAGTCTTAACACTCACGAGAGAAATAAATGTAGGCCATACAACTATTTCTTCTGGTCCGGGAATGAAACCCGGGACCTCTGCGTGGCAGACCAGCATGCTAATCTTTTGACCACGTAGGCAGTTTAGAAAGTTAAGTAAAAACGCCCGCCAGTAAGTAAAAGGAAGAAGAAAATACAAAATTTAATACAAAATTAAATAAAAAATACATACACAAATAGCTGTATTTGTGTATATATAATTCCCAATATTCGTTGAATTGCAGAGTTTACACAAACTGTTTAATTACTAAAACCTTAAAAAGGGCACTCCCAAAAAACAAACAGATATACGAGTAATAGTATTACTTAGCAAAGATAGTTTTAGTTTAGAAAATGAACTAGTATTTAATGTAACTTAATTAATGAATAATAAACTAGAATAAATATTATTCATATATTTCAAAAGAGCGTTGTCTTGCCAACTCCTGGGTACCAGGTTGGCAAGACAACGCTCTTTTCAACGTCTTTAGCATAAGTATAAATTGTATATGTGTTGAGAAATAAATAAATTAAAAAAACCAGGTCTGAAAAACAGCTCAACCTGCGATTTACTTTATAATAATATGTGTAACTTCAGACGATATCTTTTAAGGTTAAATTGTCATGTTAATGTAGATAAAATAAAGCTCTTTATTATTACCGTACTTGTTGTTTTATTTTATCAGCCAGTTGGCTGGTTTTAACCACACTTTCGCACCAAAATCGAGTAAATGCAGTAGTGATGCAACGGAAGTGTCATAACGGAAACACATGTCAAAAGTAAATCTTAGCGGAAACGAAACCGAGTACGGAAGCAGAAGTATAAATACTATAGATTTCAAGGAAATAATTCAAAGATTTGTTTTTGGTCTCATAATTTCACTTTTACACAAAACAAAACTGCTAAAGACGTTTATCCCACAGTCGAGTGATTCACATGCGTGCTTCATCCGTCGAGAACGTTGTAAACTTCTGATTAAAGTTCCGTTATTAAAGTTGCGGAAGCCGAAACGGATGTGAAAAAGCGTACGGAACTTCCGCAGTTGCGGAAGAGGTCTGTTGCATCACTAAAATGCAGTATGGTGTGTATCCATCCATGTGGAGGTGTATAAGATTCTACTTCGTCATCTTTTATATGCATGAACATTATTATTATTGTATGTAAAAAATTTCAACATCACCTTGCGAATGAGTAGCATCGCGCCACTATCTAGTAATACCATCGAGTATATAACCAGAAATGGAGTACAAATGTCCTTTAATATGTTTGAAAAACTATACTGCTAAATATTACGATGACAACTGCGCTCCGATTGGCCAGACCGAATTCGAAACAATTCACGGGGATCGTCAATTATTTCACTTCAAATCGACCAGTTTAACTTGAGCTTTGAAAATGGAAAAATTACATATTTAATTACCGATGAAATGTGATTTTTTGTTTGTTTTGTATTTAGATGTTTTGCTGTTTTTCCCACACCACCGAATGGAACAGACCCTCATTGTTAGAGATATTACATTAAATACAGAATATTTTTGGAATATACGGAGACGTACACACAGGTCAGTTGTTGGCGCTGTACTATTTCAGTTTTCTAATTTGTGATTTCAGCGCAAACGAGAGTTGATATTTAAAAGTGATATAAGGCCCATTTTGCCTGGTGAGTTGCCATGGATAGATGGCCCTTATTTCGTCTCTGTTTCTGGTTATATACTCGATGAGTAATACTTACTATAAAGTAGCATCGTTACTTTTTCTTTTTGGATATACATATGGTAGCTTACCTCGAAACTAATAAGCACATCCTCTTCAATCAAGCTTTGAATGGCATCCGTCATTCGTTCCTCAATGCGATGGCAGGGTGGGCACACGATGAACTCCTGGCTCAACACCTCGCAAAGTTGTAAGGAAGCTTCGATTAATTCGTTGTGCCGAATTACTTCTTGGTCTGCGTTCGGTTGATTGATTACGCTTTCAAGCGCTGTCGCTGTGAAATAAATATAATAATAATAAAATGATAATAGTTAGCCTATATATAGTTCCTTCTGTTCGGCACAGGCTTCCTCTGACAATGAAAGGATACAGATCCCACGTGCTTCATACTATTGGCTAAAATCGTAAACCACAATGAATGTGACACAAAAGCAGAATTACCTACTAGAAATAATTGTATGAGAATACCTTTATAACTAAAACAATATCTACAAATTATATTTTAAGCTTTAATTGCCCGATATTGCGCTTGAAAAGTAAAAAAAAAGGATTTGTATACACATCATTAAATTGCTTTGCAGATCTGGGCCCTGACTTTAATTCAAATTGGAATCGATCCGATCGGGTAGCTCACCCGCAATATTATATATATTAATAAGTCGGAAAGACGCAGGTCCCGATCGGGAGAGGCAGTCAAAATCAAGCTGCTGTGCAGATTTCGTCACAATGTTTACTTTCATCGAAAAACTCATAGTAAATTTCGCACATAAATTTCGAAAAACTCAGAAGCGCAGGCCCGGATTCCAACCCACCACTCTCTGCTTGAGAGGCGGTAAGTTAATTAGGCTACCACGTCGGAATTATAGCCACTTTGCCTATTTCTGCCGCAAGCAGTGATGTGAGCATTAATTTTCAGGTTAGTTTTCAATACCTAATTTTGGTCGCAATTTTCAACACTTAAATGTTAAGGGTGTTGGTAAAAAAACAAAACACGCACATGGGACTTGTCAATTTATGACACAGGGTGGCGGGCGCAGTGGCAGTGCCCTTCAGGTCTTTGTGATTTAAAGCACAGCAATTGTTGTTGACAGTCGCGTGTCGCTTATCACCAGGCGCACGACTTGTTCGTCCCGTCACTTGGTATGATAAAAAACATTTTTTTCATCACACTTGCTCGTCAGTAATTATGTATTACGTGCATTAAAACTAGGTGGGATTTTTACCATACGGCCTCAGGGCGGTATTTCTTTTTCTAAATTCCTACGCACCCGCTGGGCGCCAGCTAGGAGAGCGACCTCAAAAAGCAGTGGGCGTTGAGTTGTGAAATTAAATGACTAAACTATACAAATACAGTCGGCTTTATTTCATTTATCAGTTTTATAAAATATAAAGCCATCTGGCTGTATTTATATATTCAATTAATATTTTGCTTCTTATTATTCATTATAATATATATTAATGACGATCATATTATCGTCGGTTAGCAAATGAAACACAATACAATTTCAATTAAAATCACATTAATTTAAAGTATTTTTAATTCAATCAATTTTAATGTAGTAAGTAAGTAAAATTCATTAAAGTAAAATTGCGTAATATCTTTTTTTCAAACAAACCAACGTTCCTGCAGGGCTCATAAAATACGTTGAACTTCAGTAATTGAAACAAGAGAATTGGTTTCGAATTGATAAATTTTTTAACGTTAAATCGACTGTAGAGTTAAGGCCCTTCTGATGGCTTGTGGAACGCAGTATGTGTGTCTTGGGTGCGCTCTTTTCCACATGCGAAGCTTTCGCGATCTCACGAGAACTTCGTGCTGACGTTGTGTCAGTTAATATGAAGCTAATATATTTTTTTAATAATATCAAGTGATGGGACGAACAAGTCTTACGCCTGATGGTAAGCTACACGCCTGTCCATGACAGTTGCAGTGCCACTCAGAGCTTTAAATCGCAAAGATCTGAGGGGCACTGCCACTGCGCCCGTTATCCTAAAACATAAGTTGACAAGTCCCTTGTGTCTGTAATTTCACCAGCACTCTTACCCTTCAAAATCGGAACCCAGTAATGCTGACATTGCTGCTGGACGGCAGAAATGGGTAAGGTGGCAGTACTTCCCTGGACGAACTCTTTCACAAGGAGCTCTACTGCTGCTTAAGCATTAATCTTTAGTCAATATCTAACGGCAAAGTCATTAATAAAGTCTCTTATTTCGTTGTCATAAATAAACTGCCTCCGTGGCCGAACGGTTTACCATGCCGGACTGCCACGCAGAGGTCCCAGGTTCGATTCCCGGGCCGGGAGAAATATTTGTATGGCCTACATTTATTTCTCTCGTGAGTTTGGGTGTAATTTGTGGTTGTCTATGTGTGTGTCCATGGCACCCGCGACACAGGGTTTCCCTAAAGCGGGGCTATGTTGATTGTGAGCGTTTTTATTTTTTTTATAAATACATCAGTGAATAACACGATAAAATATAGACGCGACAACAGTATTCGGATATATTCGTGGATTCAGAGTCTTCCCGATATGCAATATATACGACCTGATGACTGAACTTTCTCGTTACAGAGTTAATTAACCCTATGTTGGCAGCAATACGGTTACATATTACATCAGCAAATATTCAAATGCTCGTCTCGCACATTCTCGTCAATCCAGATCCAAGGGCAGAATTGTAATTTCGCTATACAGATTTTAATCCTCGTCTCGCCTCATCGATGGGAAAGCACCTTTAGCTACTTTATTGCTGTCAGTTTATTACTGACATGAAAATTACAGTGACTGCTACACACGGTGTTATCTTGCAATATAAAGCCTTGGTCAAAAGTATTGAGCACCCTAAAAATCCCGAACGGGCACAATAAGTATTGCAGAAAACAGGTCCTATTGTTAAGGATTATTTTTTCGGCATCTACAAAGGTTTAAAAACAATGACCCCCACACCGTAACTAGCAATAAAACACCTGGTGCCATAAAATTTGTCATTTTACGATTTTTGTATTTATTTCTCAGTTCACTACTATCATTCGTTACGTACACATCCAGTGATCTAGTGCGCTTTTGGTATTTTGTTTAGTTCCATTTAGTGATATTGTTGCAATATGCCTAAAAAAACGAACTTAGTTTAGAACACCGTGTGCAGATACAACTTCTGCATGAGCAAGGGAAATCACAGGTAGAGATTTCTAAAACTGCGAAATGTTCGCGCCGATCTGTGCAATTAACTATTGAGCGATTCGCCGCTACTGGGTCCCATAGTAACAGATACAGAACAGAGCGCAAACGCATCACCACAGATCGTGAGGACCGAAAGTTAATGAGAGAGTCGTTAAAAAATTCAGATCTCGCTGCTGATTTCTCTGTCGAAATTAACAGACCTATTTCTGCTCGCACTACTCGAAGAAGGCTTCTGGAAGTTGGTCTGAAAGGCTGTAAAGCCAGGAAGAAACCATGGCTCTCACAAAACAACAAGAAGGCTCGGTATGAATGGGCCTTAAAATATCAAAGTTTCACCGAAGAACATTGGTCAAATGTCGTGTGGTCAGACGAGTCAAACTTTGAAGTGAGTTAGATAAATTCACGTTCTTAAGATATTAAACAATGTGATTTGAAAATAAAATTCAATAACAAAAATATTTTAGATTTCCGAAGTCACTAAATTTAAAAAAAATTTCAGATTTTTGGTACACCTGGTGTGACTTTTGTGCGCCGCCGACCAGGCGAAGAATTTAGTCCAGCCTGTATAGTGCCAACCGTAAAACACGGCGGAGGCAGCATAATGATCTGGGGCTGCATGACTGATTCAGGAGTCGGCGAAATGTTTGTGTGTGAGGGTCGCATGAACTCTTCAAAATACATCAACGTCCTGGAATCTGCGTTGCTGCCCTAATTTTCAACTCTTTTTGGCGATACAAATATGGATGGCGTCAAATTCCAGCAGGATAACGCGCCATGTCATAAATCTGCCAGCATTATGACATGGTTTAGAAAAAAAAAACATTGAGCTTTTGGAGTGGCCTGCCCAGTCTCCGGACCTAAACCCCATAGAACATTTATGGGGTTTATTAAAGCGCAACGTCAGGCGGCACCCAATAAATACAAAGGAAGAACTAAAACGCCGTCTGCGCCATGAATGGAACGCTATACGTCCTGAAGACTGTAAAAATCTTGTCCGCTCTCTACCAAAAAGAATTTCTGCTGTAATTAAGGCAAAGGGTGGACACACGAAATATTGATTTTTATTTAATAAATAGTAATATTAACATGTGTAAATTGTTTCAAATTATTTCATTTTCATATTCCCCAAAAAACTGTGAGTTATCATGGGTGCTCAATACTTTTGGCCAAGGCTGTAGATCGATAATCTCGATACCATGGAACCTCAGGTATAAAAATAGATTGGCACTACCTAGGTCGAAATTACAAATGTATAATCAAGGACCCTATGTAATGGCCATTAAAGTTTACAACAAAATTCCAAAGGAGATTTCATCACTAACTAAATATAATTTATTCATCAAGCAACTTAAGGCTCATTTAATAGAAAAATGTTACTATAGCTTGAAACAATATTTTGAAGAATTTGCACCTACTGAGAGGAAGAAATTTGTGAAATGTCAGCTATATATTTTCAATTTACTTGCTGTTAATTTGATTTATAATCTAGTCTTTAAAAGTAACTTTAGGTAATGTTTTTTTTTATAACTTAGAAAAGAAAAGATATTGTTTAAGTACATATGGTTAGATTGCGGCGCCCTAACAGGGTCATGTTGATACTACTTTAGCTTTAAGATCATTTGTAACACATGAAAGCAATAAATACTTTGACTTTGACTTACCTCCAATGAACACTACGCCAACTTAATTTTTGGACCTGTTCTGTTTTTATTTGTTTATTCTTTCTTTTTTTTATTTTTCATAAAATTCGTTTTTTTTCTGAATTTTGTTTTTGTTTCTTTCTTTCACAAAATTCGGGGAGCATAATATTAGTAATGTACAAATAACAGAAAATGACCAAAACATAAAGTTGCGTAGTGTTCATTGGAGGTATATCATATATGTATATATCATAGAGTTATACATTCAAATAATCTAAAAAAACCGACCTCAAAAGTACGTGGAATTACGTCTATATGCTAAGTTTTATTGAAATATCCCCTAGTTCGCCACTATACAGGACTTGACACTGGCGATAATAATAATCGGTTCTCACTACTTAAAGTATACTGGGAGAAAAAGGCCTTGAATTGGAGAAATAGCAAAATCAATCATTAAAATAATTGCTCCTAAATTAAAGTCAGGCGCTATTTATAAAAATGAATCTTCATGCGTGAACAGCCACCCTTAAAGGTGGATGATTTTCTGCAAAATGAAATGGAACCACTATGGAAGTACCCCCTTTCCAACAAAAAAAGAATCATGAAAATCGGTTCACAAATACTGGAGTTATCGCGTAACATACATACAGAAAAAAAAGAACATACAGTCGAACTGAGAACCTCCTCCTTTTTTGAACTCGGTTAATTAGGAATAGAAAATAAATATATTTAGTTACCAAGTATAGCGGGCGCCGCGTAATGTGCAACTACGGTATTAGCGTAGTATGACAGCTCGAGTGAAGCTGCAATGGTGAGTTGTGGCTTGATTATTTGCTTGTCGCCGCTGCCTTCGCGACGCACCAGGCCGCGGCCTAGCATCTCCATCTTTGAAGTAACACGTTATATTAGGATTAGGTATATCCATCGAGTATATAACCAGAAATAGAGACGAAATAAGGGCCATCCATCCCTGTTATCATCAATCATTTTTGAAATTCGATGAAAAAAATCCGATGAAAAAACAGATAATAACACGTTTATCTACGCCATTTGTCGTACATTACTTATTTATGTAATATAAATCTGTTATAGATTTCTCATAGATGGCGCTACGACTAAAAAGTCGTTGAAAAACCAAATACAACAAGCACATAGAAAAATTCGTTGGGTCCGTTGGTTCGTTCCGTGGCTTAGTTGGTATAGCGTCTGGCACAGTATGCAAGAAGACGTCGGTTCGAATCCGACCGGATCGAAGGAATATTTTCTGAGAGTTCGATCTTTATATTAATGATAATATAAATCTGTTGGTATATTTTATTCTTATTATTGCTGACATTAAATTGACAATGATAACTAATTGTGTTTATTAAATTATTTTAATTTGTCGACGAACTAAAATAATTTGAATAATCACTTAATCATACAAGATAAAAGTACAAACAAGAATAAAAATTGATGAGGTGTAAATACAGAACGCATCTGTAAACACACTTTTTCTTTTATTAAAAAAAAAAACAGATATTTTAAAGTTCAACTGTTTTTCTTTCATCTACCATTTTCCTCGCTAGTGTGGTGAAAAGTTGTGTGTTACGCTCGGCAGCAAAGTTGTTCTGCGTCTCGTGCCTTGAAACCCTTGCTACGCTCAGAAATCTTAGCTTCCTTCGCTTGCTCAGGTTTCAATAAAAGCACTCGCGTCAAACAACAAGTTTGCAGCCCTGCATAATAAATAACTATTGTTCTATAGTAATTGTAAGGCAAAAGTGTTAATAAATCGTCTGCTTACAGGTAAAACTACATAAGTGGCATTTTCCACAAAAAGTCTTTAATTTACATAGCTATGGTAAGAAAATCATTATCCTTCTGCACGTGAAACTCAATAACAAAAAAATAATAGTTTTATCTGCAGAAAGATGGTGAATGTCTTACAACTGGTACATATTTTGGAGATTTTTTGTGGAAAATGTCACTTATGTAGTTTTATCTTTAAGCAGACGAAATATATTATCATAATTTAACTTACCGCATGTTTAATAACAGTAGCAGTATTCCCATTGTACAAATCCCTCCCAGCTCTGTTTAAGGCGACGTTTCTTTTCCCGAAAGCCTCTGACAGCTGCTTAATAGAGCAGCCCTGTCGCTGTTCCGTTAGTAACACGTACGCTAGCACGTTGGTCGACATAAGAGATGTGGCTTGGGCCGCGTCTGTAGATTTTGAAATTAATGATATAACTACGTGGCAGATCAATTCAAATTCGAAATAACTTTCTTTCATAAGTAAAATTAGTTACTATATATAAACAAGAATGTACGAGATCGTCGCCTTAACCAAATGTCTCGTGAAATAATCTAAGTACAGAGTACTAAAAAAACCGACCTCGAAAGTTCGTGGCATTACATCTATTTGCCAAGTTTTATTGAAATTGGTTACCGGAAAGTGAGGGAAACTGGATTTATTATAATTAAAAAAAACATTAAATGGGACCACTACCGAGGTACTAGGTAAAGGTGAAATCGTGCTAAATAGTGTAGTTATGTTTGTGTTGAATTTTTTTCGCAGTTAATTTTCCCACCCCCTCTTCGCATAAATTAAATAAAATAAAATCTGCAGCTTTAGTGAAAAGAGGTACACGTCAAAAATGCCAACTTTGCAAGGAGACGCGAAGATCAGTCAAAATGATATTAAGCGTTAAATGTTTTTCGCGTTTCCTTGTAAAGTTGGGTTTTTTGATTTGTATCCCTTTTCACTAGAGCCACAGAAATAACACAGACGCAACTACAGTCCTTGTACTTGTTTAACAGTAGAGCTCCTTATGAAAGAGTTCGTCCAGGGAAGTACTGCCACCTTATCTATTTCTGCCGCCAAGCGGTAATGTCAGTATTACTGTGTTCCTCTTTTGAAGGGTACGGGTGCTGGTGATATTACAGGTACATTGGACTTGTCAACTCAAGTCTCAGGGTGGCAGGCGCAGTGGCAGTATTCCCAAGATCTTTGCGATTTAAAGCTCTGTGTGGCAATGCAACTGTCATGGATAGGCGTGTCACTTACCACCAGGCCCACGACAGGAGGCAAGCATACTAACAAGGTGAACCTAGTATCTCAGTTGCAAGATTTCGATGAGGAAGATCAACCACATCATTTGAAATAAATGTTTTATACTTCGTTTCAAACCATTTTCAACAAAATGTAAACAAGCAAGTCACTGACCCGATTAGTGATGGCCAATTGTAATGCCAACAACAAATCGATTAATTAATTGAATGAACCGGTTTGTTCAATTGAGTCATACTAGCGGTTTTCCTTACATAACCTATAAAGCATATTTAAAATTTCCGAAATCTTAATTTTAAATCCTCCTGCAAATCCTTACACTTAGATACTCGGTCGATTGCGATTGAAATATTTTTATTTACTAATCGATTCCAAAAACTTTAATTGAATGAACTGAATGTTTTTTTTTTCGTTCAGCATTATGCAACCACAGACAAGTCATAGATATATAGATGAAAAATAACCTCACTTTTAGACTACCGTTTTCCAAATACAATTTTACGATGTTATTCAAATAAATATTGTTGGAAAAAGTGATGAGATATCAAGTCGAAATCTGCTAAATATACGTGAGTGTTACTTATACGATTTATTGAGTGATTCCTTTAGAATTTTAACCAAACTGTTTAGTTTATTTTTTGTTGCAAATGGATTGGAACAGAATATATATTGTTACACTGATCACTCACCATAAACAAGATGTCTTCCTATAGCTTCCACCATCATTTTGTGATTCGTGCTGACGTCATCGCCGTATAGACTCGAGTGGCTGTGGTTGTACAGAATCTGTTTGTCTAGGTTCACTGACAGATTGTTGTTAGGAGGAGTAAGCGCTCGTTCGACAGGGCCTTTTAAGTAGTTGTACTTTTGGAATGAAGTTACTAGTTCCTGAAATAAAATAATTGGTTTTCAATTATATATTGCAATAGATGAACCGGAAGCAAAAGATAAGACAGCTCTTTGGCATGGATAATGCCGTTCAAACCATTGCTTCTACTTTACTTTTCATCTGCCAAACTACTTTTGCAGAAAGGGCGAAAGAGGCATGTTGAGAAAATGTTCATGAGAGGATGTTTTACTTTTTCACGACTATTTTAAAATATTTACGTCTTGTTTTAAATTCAATTTTAAAACTGAACCTAACTAATATCAAAATTGAATTTTAAAACAGGACACATAGTCGAAATGGCGTTTTCGCCTTTTCTACAAAACACCGATGATGTGTATGCGTGCCTTTGAGTGTGCGTGTGCGAGTTCCCACGTGCGTGTGTGCGTGCGTGCGTGCGTGTGTGTGTGTGTGTGTGTGTAGCTTTCCAGTTACGTGAATAACACAAAAATTACCTTAAGCGAAATAGGTTGATTAAAATCAACCCTTATACTGCCGTGATTTGTGTTCAAAGTCCTCCAAATTCCCCTAAACGCCGACCAGAATGTCTCCATCTGTTTAGGCATGCCGAGTTGCTCTCTCACAAAATTACCGTCGACCAATTTGTCGTAGTTTACCGTTGCGGGGACGAGAAGAGCATCGTCGATTGTACCGTCGAGGTACGCGTCCATTATTACTGAGAGAATCCCAGCTAAAAATAAAATTACAACGTTTAGTCACATTATGCCCCGAAACGTCTCTTAGTTTCAAAATTTCGCTTTCCTGTGACGATGTCAAATAGTTGAAGCGGTCGCTTATTTTTTTTAACTGTATCTATTTAGGGGCTTTCAACATTATTAAACATGTCAGCCCCATTATAAAAACAATACGTGAAGAAAACACGGACTTAGTGCACAAGCGACATCCAAAGTGGGTCCGAGTTTTCTAGATTTGTACAGTATAGTCGCTAAATAGAATCTAAACAGATAAATCAAAATACTGCTATCTAAACATGTGTTATAATCAACACTGTAAACTCGTGGAAGGGGCCACAAGCTGATGTTTTTTTTTTATTCTTGGCTGGGCGTATTGACCAATGAAATCGCGTGACACCAGCCAATAAGGTGCTCGAAAGTAATGATAGAGAAAAGTACAAGGGAAAGCATATGAGGGCATTTGTAGGCTCGTTTAGTGCCAAGTAATTTTACTAAAGTTGCCTCATCGTGACAACCGTTCTTACTAACTGAGCTACAGATCGAGCAGGTCTTACTAATTACTCGATGTGGTTATAATTATAACGATTAAATTCTTTCAGGCTTTAACAAAAAATGTTGAGTACCCATTAATATCTTTAGATAATATAGGATAAATTATAAGAGACAATAAAGTTATTTAATCACAAATTTGTACTGAATAAATATTTTAGGGTATATAATAATCTGAGCATCTGTATATACAGAGTATATTTACCTAAATATCAATTAATACACATAGAGCAGATAATACCTCCATCTAAGTCCCGGTACTATTGTATTTTGTTATGCATTTTTCATGTATTAACTAGTAATAATTAGTTTACTTCGGTAATGTGTTAACAATTGCTACTTTGTTTTGTTTTTGGCCCTTATTTTTAGTATCCCAGGTTTTCAGAGAAAAGTAATATTAACTTTATGTGTATTACTTGTAGATTAGTATACTCTACGATCTGTGATTTCACCTACAGATTACCGTGAAGTGATACGAGAATCTGCGTGTTATACATTACAATCCCATCAGTTTCTAAGTTCATAATAATGTTATACAATAACGAAAGATTTAAATCGTATTGTCGACTCCGTAATACCATAAGTTAAAGGACCACTTATCATTAATGTTACTCACCAGAATTCGAGTCTAGATAGTTATCATCTATATCCGTGTAAGCATGTTGAGCACAAGAGAAATTAGAACAAGTCAAACTACCTCCACATACACAAAGTGCGGCGTAGTTTGCATATATAATTGACAGAAATGCGAGTTACAGGCCTCGTTCATACCATACGCAATAAATGCCGACATTTTACCTTAATAATTTTAAATAACCGGGACAGTTGATTCAGCAACAACCACAAGTCCGGGTGTATATGGAGTACTGCTGCCACCTATGGGATGGCTCTGCTACATACCAACTGGCCATCTTGGATTCAATTGACAAGCGTACCAAGAGGCTTACAGTTGACTCGGAATTAGTAGAGGCGAAGCTGCAGAGCCTTGAGCACCATCGTAAAGTTGCCTGCTTATCGGTAATCTACAGGATATATCACGGAGTGGGCGATGGAATTGCATAATTTGATTCGGCCTACCACTTTCCATCATCGGGTGACAATACGTGGGCTGGGATTCCACCCCTATATTGTGGATATTCCCAGGATTCGCACGAAGCGTTTCGCTTCCACATTTATATGGCCAGCGGCTAGAGGGTGGAATTCCCTATCTGCGAACTTATTCCCCGAACGCTATAACTTGGACCTTTTCAAGGCGAGAGTGAATAGACATTATTTAGGTGTCGACCTCATCATCACTTTCCATCAGTGGGAAAAACATGAGTATTTATATAGGGCACCGGGTTTCTGGCGCTAATTGATATTAGGAATTTTATACGCTCCGTGTATGTGTGCGTGTGCCATACGTTTCACTGCATATGAACAACATTGTATATTGCACTGAATTAATATCAGCATACCTTTAGGCGCCTGCGGCTTCCCAGTCCTGGTGCGACCGCCTTCGATGAAGAACTCCAGGTTGTTGTTTGCAGCTAGACTGTTCAGGATGTACGCTCTGTAAAAATAAAAAGTAATAAACAGTTGTTTATTATTTGGAAAAAAGTATAGTTTTGTAAAAGTTAACGGTCAACAACAATTGGCGACGGAATTCGCTTTATGTTTGAATAACGCGGTGCATAAAGCGTACTGCCAGGTGAGGTTCAATCCTTATTATTTAGATGGGTACTTAACAGATTTTCGATTTTATTTTGTTACTAAAAAATTCGCACATTCTTGCAGTTATCAGGCTTTTTGTCCGGACTATTGGAATTTCGGAATGGTACCTCAAAAATACCGTGATAAACATGGGGCTTGTCAACGTATGTTGTAGAGTGACAGGCGCAGTGGTAGTGTCCCTCAGATCTTGGCGATTTAAACCTCTGAGTGGCTCTGCAACTGCTATGCACAGGTGTGTCGCTTAACACCAGGCGAACGACTTGTTCGTCGCGTTACCTGGCATCATAAAAAAAGAATCAATTTCGTATGTTCTAGGTAGTGCACTGGAGTAATTTTCTATTCCGGCAACCATAGCACACAGGGAATTCCCTTATCATCATCAATCCATTTATACATCCCACTGCTCGGCACGAGTCTCGCCTCAAACGAGGTGCCGGTTTCATCACGATGTTTAGGGAATTCTCCAAGTGCTTATGTTACATTATTGTTTTCAATTTAAATAAAACTTGCCTCAAGGCAGTCTTGTAGATAGGGTCGCCGTGATATTCAGAGCCATCGACTCGTCGTCTTATGTAGAAAGCGCCGCAACCACGTAGGAACCAACTATAAATAACACAATAATTGTATTACAATTATCCACTAACGGGAAAAGAAAATATTAAAGTCCAAGATTTTCCATCATTTCCGTTATGGATTTGTCGAACAATAAATTGTGTAAAATACAACTTTTTTAATATTTCTCGACAATGTTCGGTTTCCGAATACACCTGAATACAAATGTCCATGTCTAGTAATTGTTAAATTTATCACCTATATAATTTGAATTCAGGACTATATATTATATTGTTTTGATGTCTATAGGCACTCTACAGAATTGAAAAACAATTTCCCCTTTTATAATAACATTCGCTCTTTAACAATAATGTATGTACCAAGTCAAATAACAAAAATATAACCAAAATAAAGAGTGTTTAATTAATCTATATAGTTCCAAGTCAATTGAGTGCGTCTGATCTGCAACTTTTAGTATCAAAGTTGTAGTCCCTAAGTTTGGTACTTTTCAATATTTACAAAAAACAATTTTATGCATAATTTACAAGCATTAAAAAGGCATCGGTGGAAACGCCTTGCCTCACTTTGTGGGGAAATGTAGGAGCATACAGACGTATACAGCAGTGTTAATATAACTTACCCAAAGAAAGGTATCCTCATGTTGTCTCCTGCAGCGACTAGCGGCGGTCTCAGTCCCATAAGATAAAGCGTAAAAGTCAGCAGTATGTAGTCGAAGTGAGATCTGTGTAAAGGCACGAACACTAGAGGTAAACCGGCAGCTTTGGCGCGGCGCAAGCGTTCGACGCATGCGGTGCGTGTGCCGCAGCCGCCGCTTGCGATCCGGCGGATCGCCTTATGGCACACCCAGGCCACCAGTCTGAAAAAGATTACATTATAAGTGTTTAAACCCTAAAAACTAAAACGAGCTTCAATATCCATCTATAAAACAGGGTTTCTTAACCTGTGGTCCTTGGACCCCTAAGGGGTCCCTGTAATGGACCCCAGGGGTCAATGACGAGCCTATTTAAGATGTTGCATTAATATAAAAATTGGTATACAATATGTAATTAGTCAATAGGTGCAGTGCACGAGGCCTTTTTGAATTTTCGCGCCCTTTGATGGCTATCCAGTATAGGAGCGAGTGAGCCACGCGTCAAAACAACACGTGCACCTTTCTTTTATTTCCTATTATTAAAAAATTTTCAAAAAGAATACTTAATCTAAACCTGGCGGCACAACAAAAGCCAGCGTAGGTTTATCCGTGCATCGTAAAAAGTTCGTCATCTTTTCGGAAAAGGGTCTGTGGGCACTTTGAAATTTTGAGAGGGGTGGGTCAATGACAAGAAAACGGTTAAGAAACCCGGCTATAAAGTATTGCAGTGGTTCTTGAGGGTTGTAGACGCCATTTCCAGTTCAATTTTTTTAAAGAAAGAGAACTACATTATTAATTTTATTAAATATCAAGATGTTTTTACTACCATGATATTCATACATTTTTTTGTGTAAATACTCCACCAGTTTCCTATTACTATCGATATAAAGATCGAACAAACACAAAGAAACATTCCTTCGGCCCGACTGGTCCCGAGCCAGCGTCTGTAGCCTCAACGTGGCAATAAAAATATCTGCAACAAGCACAAAGAGAAATTCGAAAGATCTGCTGTCTCGATCTGTTGAAAGCGTTACCCACGTTGAGGCCACTGGTTCGAATCCAATACAGTATAGAAAACTATATGGAGCCTAGTTTCTATTACTGGAGTTACCGCATCTTTGGTCTTTACCTGAGAACATTATTGGACATAGCCGAGCTAATATCCATGAGCACTTTCAACGCACGAGTTTCAACTCGCTTCCGCACATTTGCATAGTGCGCAGCTGCTACACTATCCCCCCTCCCGTCCTGGTTTTCCTCGGCAAGCTTCCTTAGCTCTTCCTGGGTTTTCTCTTCTAAAGCTTTTTGGAATCGTTCGTCTCTTAACACCTGTGGATATAAAATGAATAACTTTAAAGTATGACATTCAAATTTTGTACATTTCGTTTTCAAGACAACAGTTCTACAACATCAAAATTCAAAATCTAATGCAAAACTTTTTACTTTCTCACACTGTGAGACGGCAGCATATCAAGCTACACATTGCCGGATCTTGTTCCTATGATCTAAAGGCGATATTCAAACAAAAGTGTACAACGTTGACTGTACTCCCACAGTACTCATTTCATAACAGAACCTGCAGAAACCTCTTAAAGTACCAAACAGGAAACTCTACTAGCAAAATCCAAAAAGGCCACTAACAATAAGCTTAACCCCAAAAGGACTGCCAATCGCGATACAAGACAGCGTAGTCAAGTCTTTAGTGCCTAATTTGTACACTAGATGTCGCGACGAGTACCAAATAACTAATTTGTTTTACATTGACGAGCTAAAATTTATCACAGCTACTCTAATTTCTAGTAATAACAGACAAATAATCTAGATGGCGCTAATTGCACGTATTTTTACGGATAATGCCGCTATTCTTTTATTTTGTTTAGGATTGGCGCCATCTACCCATATTAGGAAGCATTAATTTATTATTTTGTAACACACAATGCCATCTATTGACACGCATATTTGTCAAAGTTCAGACAATAATTTTAGCTCATGATCAATATTTGAATAATATTTTAGGAAATTAAAGGAAAAAATTTACTACTTGTATTTCATATTAAAGAGGAATTAATTGATATCTACGGTCATTTACATAATATAAACTATACTTCGTTTCAATCTATTTTGAACATAATGTAAACAAGCAAATCGCTGACCCAACCATAGACGGTTTAGTGATGGCCAATTGTAATGCCCACTACAAATCGATTAATTAATTGAATCAATCGATGTGGTAAATTGAGTCATACTAGCGGTTGTCCCTACATAACCTATATGAGCATATTTAAAATTTCCGAAATCTTGATTTTAAATCCTCCTGCAAATCCTTACACTTATATAGATAGATACTCGGTCGATTGCCATTGAAATATTCGATATACTAATCAATTACAAAAACTTTAATTGAATGAACTGAATGTTTTTTTTTCGTACAGCACTATGCAACCACAGACAAGTCATAGATGTATAGATGAAAAATAACCTCACTTTTAGACTACTTTTCAAATATTATTTTACGATGATATCAAATGAATATTGCAGGAAAAAGTGATGAGATATGAAAACGAAATCTTCGAAATAAATATACGTTAAATTGTTACTTTTTTGATGTATTGAGTGATTGCTTTAGAATTTTAACCAAACCGTTTTGTTTATTTTTGTTCAAAATTGATTGGAACAGACTTTACTTCCAGACTATCGATCAGCACCATCTAGACATACCTACGACGGGATTTTGACCTTTTTCAGAGTAACGATTTGTACTTTGAAGATAAGCAGTCCTCTTGAGTATATGACAGTGTTTTTTTTTTTGTAGCTGTATCTCTTCGCGCTTGCCAAAAAAAGAGTGATATCACCCTTTTTTCAACCGATTCAGAACGGGAAAAATTTGAATTCGAGCTGAGGTAGTATTGACTCTTAAGGATGCCTCTTATAGAGGTGATTTGACTGTAGTTGCGCTTGCGTTATTTATTTTACGAGTGGTGACTGAAAAGTAATTTTTACTATTTACAATTAAAAAATAATACTGACCACGATCGTGACCTATTCCTCATTTATTCCTTTTTTTATATTAGTGGCACTCTTATTTATTACATGAACAAAATGGCGGAAAAGGGGTTTCATGTAGTTGCTTCATTTCAAAAAACTAACTGAAATTAATAGACAAAACTAAAATGAAAACTACCTTTTACCAAAATCCATTCGCGCAACTACAGCCCGTTTGCGACGCGTATACGCGCGTAGTTGGTGTGTATAAAATACACCGTGTGCCTAAGGCTTTAATAAGTGCATTTCCTATGTACAACATGAAGAATGGACGTCTTTTGTTCCATACTTAGGTACAGGGTCAAGAGCACGTCAAGCTTGACACTTAAGGTTTAAATCCAACTCTATGCCGCTTACGATAAGCACGGTCCAAAGTACAAAGTGTTAAGCTTGACGTACTCTTGAGTGTACTTTTCAGCCGTCACTCGTATCAACTGCATGCTGAAGGAGGGAGCATGAAATAAAAATTCAACACAAGTGCAGCTATTTTGCACGATTTATCATTCACCGGGTTGGCGAAGCAGTAATTAATTTACTTCTACATTTATTAACATGGATTTCTGCAAAGTAACGCCTGTACCTATTAATTCAATTCTTTGGCGTTTACGCCTTTTATTATTATTATTCAATATTGATTCAAGTATACTTACACTAGGTACAATATCTGTATAATCATAATTAATAAGTCGAAGACAATGAGAGAGATCGTAGAACCATCGGGCTACGACGCCACCATTAGCGAATGCCTGTCGCCCGATGTCCAAGATGTTGATTACGTTGCCAGAGTCCGTAGATTTCACGTCTTGCCATGACTCCTGAAGACAAAGAAAGATATTTTATAGTTATAGCCAGACAGAGTTTTTGTATCACGAATGCAATTTTACAAGTGAATTTCTGTCAATTAATCGTAATTGTTACATCAAAACCTGTGATCAATGGTGTCATAAATATTTGAAATCGATACGTCCAATGAACACTACGCTCACTTAATTTTTGAACCTGTTCTGTTTTTACTTTTGTTTTTTGTTTTTCACAAAAATAGTTTTTTTTGTTTTTTTCGAATTGTCGTTTTTTTTTACAAATAATAATAATAATAAATCTTTATTACGGACAACAGGGATCCACGAAGTGTTAGTAACAAAAATAGTTTATAATTAGGATAGTACTTAAATTCTACTGCGGATTTTGTGGTTGTTATTAAATGCCGCATCACGGGGCGCTCACTCCTATCCGCGATAGTCTTCAGTAGGTCGTTGCTGCTGCCACATGTTCTGTTTAATAAAGACGCCTACTTCTTTCGTAAGCGTGCCATGAAGCTGTGCCAAGAAGTGTGCTTCAGCAAACATGGCAGACGCACTGCAGAAGTGTGGCAGCCGCAGCAGCGTCCTGAAGGCGTTATTATAATGCGTACGCAGGGTGAGTTTTGAGTTAGCTTTGAGTACAAAATAAAATTCGGGGAGCATAATATTAGTCAATAAATATGCCTGTTTACGAAATTAACAGAAAATTAACAAGAAATAAAGTTGACGTGTTTTGGAGGTATAGAAATATTTCATTATTTTTGTACGGGAAATAACAAAAAAAAAACACATGAATTTTATTTATATGTATTTTATAAACTACTCCACTAGTTTGTTGTTATAATTGATACAATGACTGAACAAACTCAAAGAAAATTTCCTTCGATTAGGCTGGATACGAACCAGCGACATTTTCGTCTAACGTGGGTTATCGCTCCTCCAACTAAGCTAAAGAACGAGCCAGTAGTCAGTTTTTTTAACTTCCCGAAATATTTTGTTAGATGGATTCATTTTGAGAAGGTAGCAACGGCAGCAGCGCCGCTGCGTTCCGGGTCGTATGGTAGGGAAATTCTGCACAATCACAGCCTATAATTATAAGATTTTAGAATTTATATCCCATGGGTACCATCACATTTGCGATAAGATTTTCACGACTTCGGTGGCTAAGCATCAAGCACTGTGTAGAATCATGAGATTTCGAAATAATTAGAAAAGGAATCTTTCAATTTGTTTCCCAAATTATCTGGGTGTTCTGGGTAGTGTTCCGGTGTTTACTTTAATTGCTCAAATTCTCTTAGTGTGGGAAATTCTCAATTTTGAAGTTTCGCAATCGGTGTGGTTGCTGCCATATTATTACTATTATTGTTAATATGCCAAGTGTCTATTAGACAGCAGTTATCACTTTCCATCAGGTGAAACTGACAGACGGCCGTCAGTTTGCATGTTTGAATACCAAACAAAAAGATAATAGCATTCCTTGGTCAAATGTAGACTTTATTAAAAGCTGATGAGGTACCCTTTTCATGCTGATATATTCGCGCTAGCAAATATTGACTTTTATGTTTATGTTTTCAGGAGAAGATATTTTTTTTTTTGAAGGTTTGCAATATAATATAATATGAAGGTTTGCAATATAATAAAATAATAACTAGGAAAACCCTGTGTCACGGGTGCCATGGACACACACGTAGACAATCACAAATTACACCCAAACTCACGAGAGAAATAAATGCAGACCATACAAATATTTCTCCAGACCTGGAAATCGAACCTGGGACCTTTGCGTGGCAGTCTGGCATGGTAACCGTTCGGCTACAGAGGCAGTATAATGTGGGTAAAAATCGATTTTTTTAACGTATGGAATTCCTTGATTCCTACCACATTTTTCAAGCGGAATCAAGAAAAGTTTCCCAGACACACAAAAACACGCGTCTTTAGATGGACATTTTTTTCTGACCAGCTCAAGCTGATTCAGCTTTCATATGTCGATGGTTTTCTAGAATTGTGACCTATGTTAAAAACATATATTTCATCATGAAGATGGTTCAAAATAATCTCAATATAGAGTACTAAAAAAACCGAACCGGATTCATCCCCTAGTTTGCCACCGTTAGAGGTGGAACATTATCTTCAAATTTAAATGGGACCACTACTGAGGTACCCTCTTTTTAACAAAAAAGAATTATCAAAATCGGTTCACAAGTGCCGGAGTTATCGCGTAACATACATACAAAAAAACATACAGTCCAATTGAGAACCTCCTCCTTTTTTGAGGTAGGTTAAAAACTGAGACGATCTGCCGCTCAACATTGACATATTATCGTAGACTTTGTCAATGTTGTCATGTGATTATTTTAACCAATGAACAGCTCGGTGTTCCATTCACAATACAATTTACCATTTCCTGAACAAATCTTAGTAATAAGTCAAAAAAGGAACTATTTAGGATTAGGCCATTATTCTTGAAAAGCAACGATGTGTGGTGGTTCCAGTAAATAGAAACAAGTATCCCAAAACATTGTTAGCTAACAATTTTTGGTTCAAAATATTCAACTCGCACATAACACAAAAAAAAACAATAAAGCATACCTATCGTAAATTACTATTAAGTACTGTTGAATAGAAAAAAGAAAGGACATTTAAAGGTGAACGAGTTTAGTGGTTTAATATGTACTGGTTTTAATTACTTGTTATACATATGTCGTTAAATTCGTTAAATGGTATATATTGTATGTATTTATAATACTTATATAATACTTATATATACATAAGATGCTTTTGAATTCATCTTTTTTATGATAGTAAGTGACGGGACGAACAAGTCGTGCTCCTGGTGGTAAGTGTCACGCCTGTCCATAACAGTTGCAGTGTCGCTCAGAGCTTTAATCCGATCTAAGGGGTACTATCACTGCGCCCGTCACCATTAGGTATAAGTTGAAAAGTTTCATGTGCCTGTAATTTCACCAGCACCCTTACCCTTCAAAACCGAAACGCAGTAATGCTCACATTAGTGCTTGGCGGCAGAAATAGGTAAGATGGCAGTACTTCTCTGGACGAACTCTTTCACAAGGAGCTTTACGCCTACTATTATTCTAGTTCATAATATTTCTCCTTCTTTCTATCTCATACGCTAATTACTTTTGCCCCCATTGCCTTGAGTACGTTGAAGGAGAACTTTTCAGGTCACGCGTGAGTTGTCCATAAAAATGAATAAAATTGATCATCTTTTTTAGTGCTGACCGACTTGGATGAGATATGAAAAAAAAAGATATGTTAGTTTATTTCGTGCGTTATTTTTATTTATTTATTTAGTCAATTTCTTAAAAATGTTACATTTCGCATTACGTGCAATGTATTCCAAACAGTATTTACTCGATAGAAAGTTTAATTTTTATAATAAATAGGTAAAAGACTTATACCACTTGCATACGTACAAACACTTAGTACAATGTTGTAACTTAATGAAATTCTCGTAATCTTAAAAAGATTACGCTTCGTTACCGACCAACAAAAATACTGTTATTTATTACATAATTAAAGCCAAGATACATGAGCAAGGTTCACTTTTACGCATTTGACATTAGGAACGAAAGAGAAGTACGTAAACTTAGTGATGAGTTGGAAAGGGACAGAAATCTTGTAGTTTATTTATATCTATTAGGAGGGAGAGAAAATTGGTTGTTAGCGATAGTGTGTATATACTATAGATAAGTGATTGTCAGATATATGTAGATATGAAGACATTTCGTAGCAGTATCTAGCTCCTTGTGAAAGAGTTCGTCGGGAAAGTACTGCCACCTTACCTATTTCTGCTGCCAAGTAGTAATATGCGCATTACTGCGTTCCGGTTTTGAAGGTAAGTGTGATGGCGAAATTACAGGCACATGGGACTCGTCAGATAATGTCTCAGGGTGATGGGGGCAGTTGCAGTCTCCCTCAGATCTTTGCGATTTAAGGCTCTAAGTGGCACTGCGACGGTTAAATTTCAAATTTCAAATTTCTTTATTGCGTATCATGTTGTACAAATGTAGTTGTTAAAAATAATGTTGTGATGAACCAAAACATAAACCCTGCAAGGGCACTGCAATCTTAAAATTATATTAATTTATTAACAAGCAAATAATTTTATAACATTGATCCTTATACAATTGAAATAAAATTTAAATTACAAAATAATTAAATACAATAAAATTTGGCAAATTTGACAAATTAAATAAGTTATAAAATTAAAATTAAATTAGGTGTACGAAAAATGATTAAATTTTGTAAAATAATAAACTTTAAATAAAAATTGAAAAAAAAAGGATCACAATCGTCAACACAGATAAAATAATAATCTACATTAATTATTTAAATATTCCTGAAGCGAATAGAAACATTTTTTAATGAGGTACTCTTTTAACGTTTTTTTAAATTTGATTACATTTCCTTCTTCCTTAATATTATTGGGTAAATTATTATAAATTTTCACCAACATTGCTAAAGGGCCACTTCGAAACATTTCAATTTTACATAAGGGCTTGGCAAGCTGTATTTTTGGTCTTAAGTTTTGTGGGCGGGAGTGGTATGGAAAGAGATTTGGGTGCTTTCTAACAAAATCACAAGCCGCGTAAATATAAAGGGAAGGAAGAGTTAATATTTCATAGTCTGAGAAGTATGGTTTACAGCTATCTGTTACTTTTATATTAGCAAGCACCCTTATGCACCTCTTTTGTGACCGGAAGAGCTTCGTTACATCTGTACTGGAACCCCACAACACTATTCCATATGTCAGCCAAGCGTGTGCATAGGCAAAATAAGCGCTCATAGCTGATTTTAAGTCTGTTGATTTTTTTAGTTCGCGTAATGCATAAGAAAATCTTGACATCTTCATGGCAACTTTATTTATGAGTTCTTTCCAATTTACATTTGAATCAATAGATATTCCCAGAAGAGGGTACGTATCAACTTGTTCTAATTGGATGTTACTAAATTTATAATTAATATTTAAAGACCCTTTGGAATTTAGACCACAT